ATTGAATCCATCTGGGTTTCTATTAGTGGATATAAAGGGAAAAGGCTTTTAGTGGGAATTTGTTACAGACCACCAAATGATACTGATGAAACTAGTGAGAAACGTTACAATGAGATTAAGATTTCAGCTGTTAATGAAGTCATAATTATGGGTGATTTTAATTTCAGGCATATAGATTGGGAAATTCTAGAGTCAAACCATGAGGGAGAAAGGTTTTTTGAAACTGTTCAGGATGGCCTTCTTCACCAGTTAGTCAAGAAACCATCTAGAAATAATGCTATTTTAGAATTATTGTTAATTTCAAATACAGAAATGATTGAGAGGGTGGAAATTGGGGAACATCTGGGTGCAAGTGATCATTGCTCTATTAAGTTTGATGTTTTGCTGCATATGGAGATAAAGAATAATGATATTTTGGTTACAAATTTCAAAAAAAGCAAATTGAGAAGGGATGCAACAAGAATTATCAGTTAGGAATTGGGCAGCTGAGTTATTTGGAGACTGATCAAATTTTTAAATATTCAATGTAGCTGTAAGTAAAAAAACCATGTTAGCTCACAAAGAGTTTGAGAGATAAAATTAAAGAAAAACATCATAAATTTAAATTGACTGGTATGACAGGAGACTTAGAAGATTATAGAAGATCAAGAAAGTTGGTGAAACAGGAAAGTAGGACATCAAAAAGAATGTATGGCAAAAGTTTAGCTGAAAATGTAAAAATTAACATTAAGGATTTCTTTAAATACATTAAGAGTAAACAAAATTTTAGGATGGGGATAGGACCCTTGAGGGGTAATAAAGGAAGGCTAGTATCTGATGATTATGAGATGGCTGAGTTATTAAATTTTGCTTTTTCTTCAGTTTTTACTAACGAATGATTTAAGCAGTATTCAACATCTTGAACAGTTGATAAATGGAAATGAGATCAAACAAGATGACTACATTAATTCTGAGCTTGTTAAGAAAAACTTGGGAAGTTTAAAAAAATGATAAGGTTTCTGGGCCAGATAATATTTCCCCAAGGGTTTTGAAGCAGGTTAAAGATTGGATATGTGAACCATTTACTACTATTTTTTTGTCAGTCCTTGAAACTGAAAAGTGGGAAAAGTTTTGGAAATTCTGTTAAAAGATGCTTTGCAAAGTCATTTAACAAAGTTTAGAATTTTATTGGATAGTCA